TTTCGAACTTTATTTTTTTTAAATTAAACTGCTTTTCGTAGGTTTCTCATAATATTTTAGAATGTTTATTTAGAGACTATGATTGTTTCACTATTTAATGCAAAGAGGCCCAGCCGATCTTTAGCAGAAAATACAATCATCATGATTGTTAACTAATTCTTTTGAATGTTTTTGAATTCCAAAATCTATTCAGAATTTTACGAAAACGTTGACAAAAATTTCTGCATTATTTACTAATTATTATATAAAGAAATACACTAATACTTTTATAGAGTTTCATCAAATGCCTTTGAAATTTTTGGAATCGGAGAAGATGACTTTTTGGAACAAACACCGGAGAAAGGTCAAATTTTGATTCGCCCATACATACACACCCATAAACACACGTAGATTAAATAACTTTGCTGTCAAACGATTCAGATTTACTTAACACGTTGCCGCACACTTTTCCTACATATCGCTAAAGATCGGACGGCTATAGCCGTCATTTGCGGCAACGTGTTAAAACGCCTGGAAAACGAAATTTTCTAAAACATTTTTCTGTCAACAACAAACTTATTTTTCGTAATAGCACCGATAGTAGAACTAAGGGGCCAATTATTTAATAAAATAGAAACATGATGGGAACGCTATGTTATGGATCTATCTTCGTATGAAATGTTGTAACAATTCAAACATAAAACTAACCTAAAAAACTTACGAAAAATAACAATTCTATCATAACTGCATCTTTCTTAAGCCTCACTGATAACACATACGTAAAGTTAGATTTTATGTTTACAAAGCCTGATCGAACAGCAAATACATAGCTTTTTGACATTTCTTACTACCAATTCATACGAATATATACCCATAGCACAGCGTTAACATTACATTTCTATTTTATCGGAGAATTGGTCTCAAAAGAAATGTTACAAAATAATGATAAAATAATAAAATATCGTTTTTTCTTTAAGATGAGTTGATTGTGTTTCAAAAAATACATATTTTGCTAAAAATTATAGAATAAACTAGTTAAAGAGGCATTTTGCCTTGAGGCAAGTTGCATGAACTTCCCTAAATGTGTTATAATTGACTCAATATCGATTGGGATTCAATTGGGATATTTAGATAAATTTTCTGTTATTTCGAAAATGGTTTTCGCTTTCAATTGAATCTAAACATTTCGATTTCCAATTGAATTTTCTCAAAAACATTAGAATTTTCTGTATTTATATTCAATATATATTGCACAGACACGTTTTTATATGTCCTAATTTTGTAGTTTAATGAATTCACAAAATTTGATTTATTGTATCACAAAAGGAACTTATGACATTTTTGACGATATTTTTTCAAACTCCGATGAATTTTTAAAATTAAACAACTTGCCGTAGGGCCGTAATATTTCAGTATGTTCTATAAGACCATGATATCTATCGTAAAAAAAGCTTCGGTAAGAAATTTTTTCAGCGGTTAATTACAAGAAAACTGCTCTTTACCTAATCAGTATCATGTCCCACCAATATCTTTCGAAA